CAGGGGCGGATCTTCATAGGGACAGGGGGGAGCCACGGCTCCCCCAAACTTTTCTAATTTTTTTTTTATATATATATATTAATATTATATTTATATATTATTATATTATTAATTATAATAAAACTAAAAAAATTATGTTAAAAAAGAGAAATTCTAATTTTTTTAATTAATAAAAAAATAATTTATAATTTTATATATATATATGAAAATAATCTGGCACCCCTAAAAATAATCTGGCACCCCTGAAAAATTTTTTCAAGTTCCGCCACTGCCCGTGAGGTTAACATGAACAAATTCCAAAGAGAAAAAAAACGCCTTTATTTCTAGTGATTTTAAATATAGGACAAAACTAAATCTCATAAATGGTAGACTAACAAATCTTATGTCCAGGGATAACTTTTCGGTATTAAATTTTAAAAATCTACAACCGGCTTTTAGTGGTGACATTGTCTATCGTGATGGTTTATATGGTTATAGTGTTATTGAGTAGTGGAGGACTTGCTTTGAATATTTTAGTGTTCGAAAAAATGAAAAAAAAAATGATATTCTTATAATTATTTAAATATTACTTACAAATGTGATTTTTAAATTTTAATATTTAAATAACAAACAATTAAACACATATTACCTTAAAAATAATGACTAAACATATGATTCATGCATCTAAAACTATGACTTATTCTTTTAGATCATTGTATAATTAATAGGTCGATAAAAATAAGGATCGATAATAATGACATGTTACAAAGAAGCTTATGATAATTGAAAAGTAAATGTTTATGATTTGATTTTGAGATTTCAATAAAATAAGAGAGGTTCGATTTAAAGAATATAAAAAAATTAAAGAAACTAAAAATAAAAAAATAAAAAAGTTTAAGGTAACTTTTATTTATAATTTTAAGTTAACACTTATGAGTAAATTTTTGTTGAAAAGTGGATACATCATTTATAAATTAATTGTTCATAGAGATGGATATACAACCTAATCCAATTTATTTAAGATTTGGTATGTGAAGCTTGCATTCTTAACAAGCCAAATAGGTCCAACATGTGAAATAAATACTTTTTTTTTTTGGGCATGTATCCATCCTGCGAAACCTGTAATTAAATATATGAAAAGTCTACAAGCCTAATGAAAAATTAAAAATTAATTCTTCCTTTTTTATGCTAAGAAAATATAAGAGAGAAATACATTAAAAAAATATAATATAAAAGTATAAACATCAAACATTTTAAAATAAAATAAAATTATGAAATATAAAAGTTTACACATTTAAATCGAAATGTTAAAGTATAACATATCAAACTTGTACATTTAATTTAAATATATTAAGATAAAAAGGTATAATATATTTTAAATAGAAAATATATTAAATTCAATACTTATTACTTTTTACTTAATGTACATAACACTAAAATCACTCATATTTTAAAGTTCTCACATAAAGTTAGTAGAAATAATAATTCTCTTAAACTATGGGACATAAACAGGTCAAGTTGGATTTAAACTATTTTAGTATCCAAACTAATTAATTTTATTCGGGTTGGGTTGGGTTTGTGAACTATTTTTAAGTGACCCAAATCAAAATAACTCGATTGCTATCAAGTTGGGTCAAGTCGGGTCATTGGGTACTAAACAATCAAAAAATAAATATATTTTTAGAAATTAAAATAAATATAAATAGAAAAAATACTTAATTCAAATTTTCATACACGAGTTAAAGTACAAATAACATTATGATAATTATAAATGAGAAATTTCAAAAATTTCAAACAAGCAAATATTATGTCATACTAATTAAATTTTTTTGAATTACATAGTATGTGAAATTAAATTATCCTTTTTACTCTATTATCTTCTTCAATCTGATCAATCAACTCCTTACTACAACA